ACCTGACTGAGACATGTTTCTTCACTTCAAGTTTCAGACACTGGAAGAAAAAAAGCCATAGTGCCATGTTAGCTGACTTGAAGATGACATTACTTTCAATTTTGAACTGATCAGCTGCATGTAATAATCACATTCTATTCTAGTAGCATGAAATGTCACATACTCAAGGATTACCAGAACAAACAAGCCATAATCAAAATGCCTTCCTTCTGAAATAAATCACAGGAGTACTTACTTTAAATACTTAAAAATTTCAAAACAGAAAAATTGTTTTAAAATGCAAAATATTAAAATTTAGTATCATAACAAACTTTCATCCATCCTGTCTTTGTAGAAGGATGGTTCACAGATAGCAAATGTAACGCAAATGTTGTCCAAACATTACATTTGAGAATTACTACCACATCCAAAGATTCTCATGAGAACAGGACACCTACATGATTCCCAGGTAAGGATCAGAACATAACATTATTTTCAGTGGCTTCAAAGTGCTGTTGCTGAATAGGACACTACACTTGGCTAACCCATGAATTTTTGGACACAAAATTCATGGCAGTGTGAAGGACTATCAAAAGAGATTTGTTCTCTACTTTCAGACACCCAGAACAGCTGGACTTTGGCAAGCCCTTATCTCTTTACTCAAGGATGTTAGCTGTGCTATAGATTAGTTATCAGGGCAAAAGCAAAGCCCTTTCATTTAGAGCAGCTCCAGAGTAGAGACAGGAAACACAGAAGCGGCAGGAGCACTTCACAGCTTGGTTTGTTGACAATGCAGCTCTTGGCCTGGAAAAGTAGGGAAGTGACCTATGCAGGCACCTGTGTGTTCAGACCTTCCTGTTGGGTAGCAGGAGTCATTTTAGCAGGATACAGTCCAGTTTCTGACACTGGCAGTTTGACAGTCAAATCCTGGCAGAGTCCAGGCTCTGGGCTGAAGGAAAAGTTGAAGTTAGCATAATTGCTGCTTGGAGTTCTAAAGAAAACAGATCTTCAGCTCCCATGCTATTTCATTTGCCCTGCAGCAGGCATTTAAAATCCTGGCAGCTGTGCAGGTACCACCTACCTTATAAGCAAGGAAAGTTGGTTTTTTCTCTCCTTTAACTACTTTTCCCCCATACCCAGCTCATTTGCTTACTAACGAAAGCCCAGTGCATCCTTTGCCATGGAAAACAGGGAGGTCCTCATTCTAATGATCTGTCAGCCTCTAACTGTGTATTCCTCAAAACATCCTGGAAAGCATCCCTTCAGAATGGTTTTGAAAACCAGAACTTCTTTTCCTGTGACCAGTATGCAAATACTCATTCCAGCCTCCAGCCAATCATTGTCACAGATCCTTAAAGACACTCACAACCCCACTGAAAGAAGTAACTGGTTGCTCTGTTGACATCTTGTTTCTAAGTTTGGAAACCTCTGTTGTCACCTTGTCAATAAAATTAGTAACATAGTTCAAGAGTTTAGAAAAGCTCGTAGTTACTGAGTGCCAGTGTAGATATACCTGACCCATTTCTCACGGAGGAGAAGCCACCCAGGCCCTCTGTCCATAGATAAAGGAGACACAGGGGAATGATTCAGGTTTCAGTATGTATGGCAAATTCCCTTCTTCTACTTTAAACTGACCATATAGTCACATCCATTGGAGCATTACTCAAGTTACTTGATTAAAAAGCACAAGAGTCAAAATTGCCATCAACTGATTATGACACATTCAGCTTCAAAGTTAGTCTGTTATCACATACAGAACTTTTTTCATAAAATTATCTGTTCCACAAGTACAGCTTACAAAACCTGTTTCCTACAAGGCAAACCACATCACCTTGTGTCTTACTCTGACTGAAAAGTTGCTGTAGCCAAAGCAGCAGCCCAGCTGCTCTGATCACATCATGACTGCAGCTCATACTTCCAGTTAGTAATTTCCGAATGTCTCTTGTTGGAATAGAAATGTGCTAGCTAAAAGTTACCTCAACAACAACAAAAAACCCCACAGAAACACCTGCTGTTCCACAACACTTAAGGTGCCAGGGTTCATTTGGGAGCTCAGTTGCTCAGCCTTGACATTTTGCAATTCCTAATACTGCCCTCATGAGGTTTCCTCGAAAATCATTCCACCAAACTTCCCATGACCATGTGCTGCCTTCCCAAAGCTCTACCATGCAGTACAAATCAAAAGCTCAGAATGAAGAAAATGCCACACGTTAAATCTTCTCACAGCACCAAACAAGCACAGCACTCTCAGCACTGCTCACAAGTGAGAGCTTGGCGCTGGAGCAATCCCGAAACCCACAGCTCTGTCTGCACACAGCTGACTCCAACACCAAACCAAGGTGAAGCTGAGTCTCTGACAACACTCTAGGGAGTTCACACACCTGGAAATTGTAGCAGCTAATTTCTTATCAATTGTCCAGAACAAAATATATAAAAAATCCCCACAACTAAGGCAAACCAGAGGAAGAAGTGTATCTGTTCTGTTTTCTTTAGATTTTCAAAGTACTCTTTCAATCAGTATGAGATATGCAAAACAGCACATACAAAACAGTTCAAGGAGAAAGGACTACATAAGATACATTTGCAACAAATTACAAAAAGCCATGAAACTTTATCTGTAAATAATGCTGGGCTCTAATTAGCAGGCCAAGCAGAAATAAAGGGACACTGCGCTACACCATAGGAATGTTCAAATCTGGTTTTGAACAGCAGATAACACAACAAAGTGTCATTTTGGATTCCTACAAATTCCTATCCTGAACAATTTGATGCTGGCAGTGTAAAGGAGCAAAGTGCCACTGAGTTCAGCTGCAGCTGGAACGTGCCATCCCACTGTCCTGTGCTAAGAGCAGTATTCCGGTGAGAGAGAAAGAGAGAGGAAGGAAAATGGGTCATTTCCTTTGTTCCTGTCAGGATGCAAGAAGTAAACTGTGAGGAACAGGCAGACTGGGAGCTTCTCAATAGGAACCAGCACAAAGAAAGCACTACAAACATGTACAAAGAGTGTCCATATAAGGATATCAGACAACATTTTCAAATAATCACTTCAGAGTGACCTTACAGCCATCTCCACAAGCAGAACAGCCCTCCTGACTTCTCAAATGAGGCTTCTTCCTTCCACCAGTGGCTATATAACTCAGATACTTTTTGGCAGTATTTAATAGCCACAGACAGGAGTAAAGACTTAAACAGGTTTCCCAGTGCTGGAAATGGTCTCAACAGCATCAGCATTCTGAAGTCACTTTTCAGACTTAAAGCAGACAGATATCTCAAGATATCTCAGTAAAACAGCAGTATTTGTGGTTTCTGACTAAAAGAACTACAAAACCCAAGGAAGAAATATCAAATCTGAGTCACATCAACAATAATAGAAAAAGTGCATGATTCTGTGAATCACTGAGTTCTAACAAATGTATCCAGCACAGCCTGTTCTGTGTGCCATGCTTTGTTCCTGGCATGTCCTCACGTCTACTGTGAGAAACCTCCTCCAGATGAACAATCCCAAGTGACTTCATTTTTCCTCATTAGAAATAGGTATTATCAGTTGAAGGAATTCTCTTTTACACACTAAGAATTCCGCTTTACTCTTATTCAGGAAAATGACTGTATCACTTCCACCAAACATGGAATTTACAGAAAATGCAACAACCCAGGTGTGACTTTTGCAGACAGACCACGCTAAGTGTGAGCCACTGCTCTGGCTTGGAACTGATGTTCAGAGCTCATAAGTTCTACAGACTTCCTTCTGGTATTGTACCTGAATCAAGGAAACTGTACAGGGATTACTACTGGGAATGCATCAAAATTTGAGACATGCCTGTGACTCAACAGCACACATATGCACAGCAAAAGGAACAAGGACTAAGCAAGAGTTCAACCACCTGTATCAGCACTATGCTTAAAAGATCAAGAAAAAGCAACACATGAACCTAAAGCTCTAATCTTAAATATTTTATTTAAAGCTCCATTTCAACGCTAACACATGACTCTAAACAACTTCCTTTCACAGTGTTTTATCAATGAGAACAGCTACTTGAAATGCACAAAGGAGGCAGTGATACCATTCCGTCAATGATCAGTTTTAGGGATGATGTTTCCATACAAGCAGCGTTTGACAGTATTTTTGCCGAGTTACTGTGTCAAAAAGCACTGTTAAACCGAGCTATAATTGTGAAAAACAGGGGCTTCTTTAAATTAAAAAGATAAACATATTAGCCACGATCACTCATCAGGAAATAGGCAGCTCTGCCTCACACCCTCAGAACTCAAGTATAATTGTGTACATACTGCCAACGCACAGCAAACTGGTACGTTTGTATTTAAACCACTTCCAAATCATGCTTAAGTCTCACGATACCATGAAGTCTCTGACCTAAGAACAGTAATTAACGACAAAAAAAAGCAAAGCAGGGGTTCGGTGTTCTCGACGCTCCGTGCTCCCCAGCCGCATCCCCGGCTCCCGGCAGCCACGGTGGGTGCCGCAATTTCAAAAGCATCCGAGGAATGCCTAGTGGGGACAGCACTTCCTGCTCCATCCCCTCCTCGCATCGCCGGCTACCCCAGCAGCGCGGCCCTGTCCGCATCTCAAATTAATCCCTGCTTTGATTTAAAAACAAATCAAGCTGTGCGCGAAACGGCCCCACCACGGCGTCCCGGGGCTCCTGCCCAGGCTACACCTCTCCCGTCCCCACACACCGGCTGCACACCCCTCCCCGCAAACGGCGGCGGGGGGCGAGGCTGTGCCCTGCACGGGGAGGCCCTGCAGCGCTGTGGCGGCGGAGGCGCCGCCGCGGGGGACGCGGCCCCTTCCCCGCGCTCACCTGAGGCCGCGGCCGCTCCCGCCGCCAGGCCGCGATCCGCCGCTCCGCCCCACAGCCCGCCCGCATCCCACCAGCCACCGCGGCGGAGCGCCCGCCTACCCCGCGCCACTCTATGGTCCGCGCCCTGCCGGAGACAGCAGCGAGAGGCGGCTCCGGGAGCAGCGAGAGGAGGCTCCCCTTGCAACTTCCAGCTGCACAGAGCGTCCCCCGCCCGCCCCGCCGGGCGCGGCTATGGCGGCCCGCGGGCCGGGGCCACCGCCGAACCGTGTTCCAAAGTGCCACATCTACACGGAATGGTTTGGTTTCTGTTTGCCACCCAAACATCGTTGAGTTTTGGGACTGCTCCACTTATAGCGGGTTTTAGCGGTACTCCTCAGTGGTAAACATGGCTGGTGTGATAGCCGGGGGGAAACCCAGCTTAAACTTTGTGCTGTTTGACTGTATTGCAGTATGTAGCACCAGCCTGGCTGGTTTGCACGTGCTCATTCACACAAGAAGCAAATTCCTCTCCCGAACATTGTACAAAAAATCGCCGGTATTTGTTTAGTTACACTGTTCCCTCCAGTCAGGCTTTCCCTCTGCCTGTTCCGTGCGAGCCTCGGTCGCTGTGACCGCGGCAGGGCCGGGTGGGATTGCCCGGTGGGATTGCCAGGGTGGGACTACCAGGGTGGGACTACCAGGGTGGGATTGCCCTGGTGGGATTGCCCTGGTGGGATTGCCCGGGTGGGATTGCCCGGGTGGGACTGCCCTGGTGGGACTGCCCTGGTGGGACTGCCCGGGTGGGACTGCCCGGGTGGGACTGCCCGGGTGGGATTGCCCAGGTGGGATTGCCCGGGTGGGATTGCCCTGCGAGCTCCGGGAGGTGTCAGGGACTCCAGCAGGAGTGTCAGCGATACCTACTGTTAGATTACAGACACAGATCACTTTCTCATGGGGAAACAGTGTTACACTGCCCAAACTCTAAATGCAACACTGTCAAAACTAAAATACATTTTAGCAGAAGTACTGGAAAGGCTTTTTTTTCCTTGCAACTTCCAGCTGCAAGAACTCCGTTCAGGAAGGTTCCTGGACATCTAGCCACATATTTTGAGAGGGCAGCTTGTGTATGTGACCTAGCAACAAATCTTTTGACTTAAAATTCTGAATACCAAGAAACACATTTCTGTCATGTCTGTATTGCCATCCATTAAGCAAACAGGGTTGCAGCTTGCAACAGGAAAATCTGGAAATGAAACAAATGGTGCTGAAGGCAGACTGGCATTATCTGCAATTCACATTGTGCTCATATTATCAACTGAGCATTGATGGGATCTGAGTAAGAACAAGATAAAAGCCAGTGAAAGCACAGGCAAGATCCATTTCCTAGGACAAAATGTAATGTTATAACTCAAAGTTCTGATTCACACTTCCTTCCTGGAGGAGTTAAAAGATGGCATTTCAGTCTTCCTTAGACATTAAGGTTTTGTTTTATATTATTCCATGGATTTCAATATAGATGTTTTGTACTATCACCAGAGAAACAGCTGTGGCAGTTTTTCTTTCACTAAATTAGAACACTGTGGTGGACACAAGATTTTGCACACATGCACTGCTATTACAAACAACTGCTTAGTATTTGAAGAAATTATAAAAAATTGGCCCAGACAATGCCAAACTACAGACTGCCATCAACACAGGTGGAAGTTAGTGCTTTCCCATGAGTGTCACTCCTTTCCTTTGGTAGGATTTACTGCAAGGGGTGAAAGAGTCTCCAGAAGTTTCAAATCCTTTGCTATTGATGCAATAATTTTCCCAAGTCATGGCTGAATTGGACCACTGACCAATTGTCACACAAAATGTTCAGGGAAGCCACAACCCTTCCAAAGAAGTCCCATTAGGCCAGAAAGGGATGTAAGGCAGGGCACCTGGGGTAAGGGCAGAGGTCAGTCCTAGCCAGTGCCCTCCCTCTGCAGTGCCCAGGAGCAGATGCTTGGGAAAAGATAAAAGCAGCACTGTGCCTGTGTATCCTCCCAGATCCCAGCCATCTGCAGCTCAGCAGCTTCCTGAGCCAGAAGTTTTATCTTGATGGTTCTCTCTTCCATGAATTTTTCTTTTTGCTTTTTGAACCCATCCCAGCTTCTGGCATTAAAGAGCATCCCGTGACAATGAGTGCTACAGGGCATTACTCACTTGATGAAAATGTACTTTTGTTACCTTTGAAACCTGTTATGAGACTCATTATGAAAGTGCAGTTCCCAGGAATGCCAGGCAACAGAAGTGGAATTGTTTGGGGTGTGTGACTGAGAAATGCTGCACTGCAGACACCTACAGCAAATGCAGCCCCCCTAAACACATGCTGCATGGTTTTTATTTCTCACACCAATATTAGCAGAGGTGCAAACAGAAGAAGTGCTTGTACTGAGGAACACTTGTAAAATAGTCTAGAAATGTTCACGCTGTGAACAGCAGCCTGACTGTGAATCACTCATTCCCAGAATTACTATTTTTGAAAGAATTTTGTTTAGTTTTTCCCTTGGAAGTTCCAATGCTTTTTCTTAAAGTTCCTGATACATCAGGGTTTACATTATCAAAAGCACAAAAGTGCTTCCTTGAATTCAAATCTTAACTTTGTGTAGAGTCACATCTTAGTAAGTCAGAAATACCTCATGCATTCAGCAAAAGACATCATGTGTCTTTTGTTCCAGTTCTTACCAGAGAAAATTTTGATACTGATTATAATAAAATAAATACAGCCATAAACTGAAACCTAAATTGAGTTTTAATAGATAAACCCACTCCACATTCCTCAGCATTATTTTCCTTAAGATATGCTACATAAAACAGTTTTTGTTTTTCAGTTGTGAGATCCCTTTTAACTTAATTTTATTTCAGTGAAGTCTTTTCCTTGCATAGATGAACATTTGGGTTTGAGCCTAAAATTCAGTGTGATTGCTATAATTAATGGCTGCACTATAAAATCATCAACTCATGGATATATTGACTCTTGTAAGACACTGAGCATCTTGATCTCTCCCAAATCTCTCTGCAGATAAAATTGCCCAAGGGCTGATTAAACAACTTAATCATATACATAAATCCGTTTAATTTCCATAAGATTTCAGTTTGTGTTTGATTCAAAGTATTTGTGTCTGCTTTCCCAAGTTACAGTACTTGGCTCCAGATCCAAACCTTTTAGAAGTAAATCTGCTGCACACTGTGGGTGACATCCTCTTTTAAAGGATTAGGAGAGAAAAAAAAAAACTTTTAATGTAGCTAGTGGGAATGTCAGATCAAGTAATTTAGATATTTCCTGGGGTAATTTGTAGGATTTGGGTGTGCTGAAAGACAGAAATTTAAGGGTGAAGTTCCCATTGATTTGATCAAAATACTCTTTTTTGTAGGGCTTTATCTATGGAGTCACCAATGGGATGAACCATTACATCTCAAATTTCCTGATTTTTGAAGACATGCTGCATCAGGAATCAGAACTGTCAGGTCCATGGAAAGCTGGTGTCACTGATGAGCCCTTCTGAGACCTACAGCTCAGAGCTGGAGGCTGGGCAGGGTAGGAACAGGAAGCCACTATCTGTGCATGCACCAGGATTTACAGACACAAGCGGCTTTACAAGAAAATCTGCAACAGATAAGTATTTTCCCTTGCTGCAAAAAATGCCCAAGCCTCATTTTCAGTGACACACTACAGGAAATGAAGATTATATTTGATTTATAGTAGTCTCAGAGGAACAGAAATGTTTTTTTTGCATTTACCAGCACATACAAGATCTGTTTTTCAAGATGCTACTTATGGCAATGAAGAAGCAATAAGAAAAGCCTACAAATATTCTCCAGTATAGGAGACATTTTGCATCTTTCCACCAATAACAGTCATCCTTTCCTCTTACTGGAAACAAAGTTCCCTTTTAAGAAGGAATTTGGGATTGACCAAACAGATGTGCGTTATTCCCGAAAGCAAAGCTTGTCCGAGGTGTGATGGGGCTGCACTGCCGAGAAGAGGTGTCCCAAACCCCCCACATCTTCTCAGCAATGCACATTTCTTCAGACACGAGATAAATGTAGTATATTTCCCATCACTAACCCTGAATAGTTTTCAGTAACTTCATGGTCATGTGTTTGTTAATTACTTTCAACATCTGCAATGTATATTTAAAACAATGGCATTTGTCCTGGCTGACGCTGCTCTTTACAAAGTGACATCTCATCTGATTTCCCAAGAATTACATGGGAAAGAGATCTACCAGGATCCTGGTACACCACAATCTGTGGAAGGAGGCTAACTCTGGAAAAGGACAAAATTAAACTATAGTTGTCCTGAAGGAAACATGATGTAGAATGGACCATTAGGCATGAAACAATGTGGATTTCCTATAGCTTCCCCCCCATCCTGCCTATCCAAGCTTTAATATGTTATGTTCTCAAGGTCTGTCCATAGCATTAAAGAGAACTATTTAAAGTGGCATGGCCTAAGCACATATTCAGTGTGATCTTCTGATGAGTGGGATAATCAAACTCATCTACATGACATTTTAAACTTTGGGAAAGGGCCTTCATTGCCCATATTTACTGCCCTGGAACACCATTAACTTGGGGTTTTGGCTGTCTAGTGACACCACAGTGTTCTCTGCAAAGCTAAATCCAGAAAAGAAGGTGCTGAAGGGTCGGGTGCTCAGCAGCTCACCAGTGCAGCCCAGCTGGTCCTGACTGTGCTGACTGGAAATGTTCTCTGCAGGGCATGCTTTAACAGAGACATGAAAATCAATTCCAACACTGGGAAGTTTCAAATGCTGCTCCAGAAGTTTATGTGCAAAGAAATTCAGGATGGGGGATGTGGAACTTAGTCCTAATGACGATTTACCACTATTGTTTTCCTCATTCAGTGAGGAAAGGACGTGTAACACTGTCTCAGCATTCCCACCGTGTGTAGTCCTGGCTGCACCAGGGCAGAGTGTGAGTGTAAAGAGTAGAGACTGATCCAGGGCTAGGGCCAGTGTGTCTGGAAAGGAATCTGCACCAGCAAATAATGAAGGCTGGAAGCCATTTATAACTTCTTTCAGTGTTTTCCCAGCTACATATACCATTTCCTTCCTTTCTTTTACCTGAGTCTAGTCACATCACCACTGGGAGGGAACAGGGCATCCATTTCTCAATCCTGAGGGGCAGCAGCAACACTTGAACTAAAAAAAGTGTTGGATTGTACATCATTAGTACCAGCCACTGAGAACACTACTTGTTCTTGCAAAATTCTGGTCTGGTTTTGTTTTTGCTCAAAAGATGATCTAAGAGAAGAAGTGACAATTTCATGTTAACCACTTCAGTTTGTTTCTGAAATAAATGATCCTGAAATAAATCCTGTGGTGAAATTGAGCACTTTCATTTTGTAATAACCTGCTCATTTGACAAGAACTCATTTCCTATGTGCCAGTCTTGTGATGTGTTACACTGAAGACATGTTGGCACTGCTGACACACAAGAACTTCCAGGAACCCTATCCTAGTATGGAATCTCTTCTGTTGGGAAATTCTTTGGCACTTTAAAGGAAAATTCAGAAAGAAATAATCTTCTCTGAGAAACCTCAGGCTTTCTAAATAAAGAACAGCCTTTGCCTAACCCCTCTGTGTTTGTAAATCTCCCTGCCTTTATTTCAGCACTAATTAGAATACAAAATATGGCACAAAATCAATCTCTAATAGGATTCCTAATTCTTCACCTTTGCTTATGTCTGATCCAAAAGTTATGGTAAGCTGTCTCGAGATCATTGAGCTTTTAATTAATCTTTTGACTCATACTCCATCTTATTCACACAAACAATACAAGGTTTGTGCATAAGATTGATCCCAAATGTCATTTTCCCCTCTGTCTTCCAGATGCTTAATATTATAGGGATTAGAAAGAGCAGAAGCACTTAGGTAAGGGGTACTCCATAAATTATAAACAAAGTGTGTTCTGCACACTACATTTCAGGTCCCCAAAGGCAAATCTATCCAAACATTGCTGGTGGGAGGCCTTGGGGCTGAGCAAAGCCCTGGCAAGGCTGGAGGGGCTGGGCACAGCAGGTCTGTGCCATGGGACAGGGTTCATGCACCAGGACAAGCAATGCTGGTGAGAGCCTGGACCCCCCATTAGCAGCCCTCCCAGTAACTCTGTGTCTGGTGTTTGTCCTGATTGTCAGGAAAGGAGCAAAAACACAATCACCTCTAATCCCAGAGCCCCTCTTGCTATAGTATGGCTCCTGTGCAATTGTTCTCAGCCTGAATACCACTTCCGCCCATTTTCACAGGCTGTAAAGCCCCCCTAAGTATCCCCTTAGAATAATTTAATTAATACATAGCTGAAGCAGAAATAGATGTAATGTCAGGAATGGTCATTTGTTAAAGAGCTACTTTGCTGTAAGTGCATCATGCCTTTCAGTTAAAAGGAATTCAGACCTTTCCAACAAGGGTTTAACTTACAAGGAGGGATTTTCTTTACTTAACAACCCAAATAAAACATCATGCTGATTTGTATTTCCTTTTAAAAAAGTAGAACCTTTTCATTTCTGGGAGTTTCATTTCCAGTGTTTTGACACTAACACCATCAGAAGCCACGCCATGCTGAAGCTGATGGTGTCCTCAGGCTCCCCAGCAGCTGTGTCAGTCAAGGTAGCAGTAAGTCAAGTAAGCAAACCTCTGAGCACCTTGCACCAGTGGTCTCATTAAAGGTAGCCTGTGCAACAAACTTTTAGGATCAAGGAATAAAGTAATTAAAAATGGAGGTTGTTGCCAGTAACCAGGATAAAAGCTAATATCTGGGGTAATGAAAAGAAACAGACAAAAGTGAAATACCAGGAATGGAATTGCCTCTAAGCAGAAAGGTTCTGTTGCCCTGTGATTATGAAGCATGAATTTCCCCAGAGAAATAATTGCCTTGGATTAAGTGATTTGTAGGAATCTGTTGCTGGGTTACAGGTAGCAAAGGAAGGTGGGGTGAGGCTTGCAGAGGTAAAACAAGTCATGGGCTGGTTTGCCTTCTCAGCCCAAAGAGCCAGGCAACTGCACTGGCCCCTTGAGTGCCTCCCAGCCAGCACAGGAGCACACACAGGCCGTGTATCGGAGGAAACTCAGAGTTCCGTGCTCCCGGGCAAGTGGCAAGGGTGGGGCTTTCCTGTGCTTATGGGCTAAGATAACTGGCATTTCTCCCCCCTTTCTTAATTGTTCTTCTGTGCTGTTTTCTATATAATCATTATTATCATCATAAATACAGATGTTATTCAGTTTCAGACTGTGATCTGCGTTTCTTCCTGTTCACCTCTGAGATATCTCTGTCTCTGTGGATGGGTTTTTTGCACATTCTCCTCTCCCTGACACCAGGGACTCTTCTGAGTGATTGTAAGCAGCCCCAGTTTGACAAACTGCACAGCCCCAGTCACACATTCCTCCTGGACTTGCACACTGGAATTTGCAGTTTTGAATAATTGAAGTAAACTGTATGTATTTTATATACAACTGGAAGAGGAGATAAATCCTCTGAGCTCAGTTTACCAGGCAGTCTTTGTTAGGAAGACATTTTCCATGCTAGAATTGTTTACAGCTCCTCAGGCAGAGATAATCAAAAGGCTGCAGTCATCATGTGTCCACATGTCCAACTCCATGATGGTCCACACGCTCCTGATATTCTTGTATTTCTTTTTTTTTGGTGTCTTGTGGCTGTTTGGGTATTTTGTGGCTAAAGTTCATCTTCTGGTTATTAAAAAAAGGAAGTGAAAGGCCTTATTCAGTGTGCTGTGACCTTGTTGTCATCCTCCTATTACTACACTGGGGTCCTCTGCTGAAGTCACCTGTCAGGATGTGCGCAGGGCATTGCTCCTTGTTACTTCAGCCGTCACATCCTCAGCTGTCAATCCATGTGATTCCTTTAACCTTTCCTTATTCTTTCTTCTGCTGCTTTTTCCTCACATGTGCACTTTTCCATTCATGCTGCATTCATATCAGTCTTAAGATTTGGATCACAAACATCTGCATGCCACAAGATGTGCTGTGCATTTTTGTACAACAGAGAAAACCGTTTATCCAGGGGCAGGAAATGTGTTCTTTTCAACTCTGCAATCTCCTCTACACTGGAAGGACACTTTGGGCTAACTGAAACTAAATCTAGTCAGACCAATTCAAAAGTCACAGTGAATATGACTTTCAATTTTGTCTAAAACATTTAAACCTACTGCAATCAAAAAGCCTTTCTCAAGACATCCAGTGCAAAGCCACTGGGGCACAGCCCCTTGTGAGTTCTGTGAGGCAGCTGATGAGGTCTGTCCTCTTTCTCCAGCTGCTGTAACTGCGGCATTCACACCACAAACATTCCCTGTACCTGCCAGCCTTGGGGGGCTGAGACCTGCTGCTGGCTGCAGGGGCTGCACCGAGACTACTTTGCAAGAACAAACCAGGACACCAGTGGTCCATGAAGACACTGTAGCAATTACATTTGCCCAGCCTGATGATAAAACCCCTTGCAAATGCAGCGATTTTGACTTTTGATGGACATTTGATTTTGATGGGCATTTAACTCCTTAACCTATCATAAAGATTCAACAGTACTGGAACAATTAAAACAATAAAGTCAAGTTTGGAAACTTTGTGAAAACATGTTTAAATTGTATACCTTGCTCTTGGCTCTAGAATCAGAGCAAACAGTCTCATGCCTGCTGTAAGCTAAGAGCAGTTATTTTTCCTGGACCTATCTAAGAATCTGTCTACTGGTACTGACAGGTGACATGCAGATCTCATATCCAAGGCTCTTCTATTTTCTGGGTGGCTCCTAAACGTTTGACGCCGTTTTTTTAACATTTGACTGACACAGTGTGCAGGGGAGAGCTGTGCCTGTCCATCAGTGCTTAGTCTTGCGAAAAATTATCAATCAGGCTCCGATACCCAGGACTTTCACACTGCTGGGTGCCTGTATTGGCGAGACCACTCCGAAGGTCTGGCTGCGGACTTTATCAGTAAATAGGAAATTCACAGATAACGGCACTAAAAGGAATTTGAGCAGCCGAAATCCGAGACGAGATGCCTCCCGCCCCACGCTTAACTGGGAACGGGCAACGTCCCTGCGAGCTCCTCCCGGAGCAGGGTGCCGGGGAGAGCAGAGCCAAATTTCCCGGCTCCGGTGGGGACCCCCGAGCAGGAGGGAGGGCCGGACACCCCCCCGGCCCCGGCCCGCGGCGGGCGGTGCTGCTGCCCGGCAGGGCAGGGCCGGGCCAGGCGGGACGGGGGCGGAGGGCGGGCGCCCCGCGGCTCCTCATATAGCACTGCCCGCGGCCGCGGCGCGCAGAGCCGGCTCGGCAGCCGCCCGGGGCAGCGGAGCAGACCCGTCGCGCCTTCCTTCCTGCGGAGCCCGTGGGACAGCGGTGGCAGCAGCATGACTTCGGCGGCGGTGGAAATCTTGGGGCTGGGACTGGGCATCCTGGGCTGGGTGGGGGTGATCCTGGCCTGCGGGTTGCCCATGTGGCAGGTGTCGGCCTTCATCGACGTGAACATCGTGGTGGCGCAGACCATCTGGGAAGGGCTGTGGATGAACTGCGTGGTGCAGAGCACGGGGCAGATGCAGTGCAAGGTGTACGACTCCATCCTGGCGCTGCCGCCCGAGGTGCAGGCGGGCCGGGCGCTCACCGTCATCGTGGCACTGCTGGGGCTGGTGGCGCTGATGGTGACCGTGGTGGGCGCGCAGTGCACCAACTGCATCCGGCCCGGCAAGATGAAATCTCGCATCGTAATCGCCGGCGGGGCCATCTACATCCTCTGTGGGGTCCTGGTCCTCATCCCGCTCTGCTGGTTCGCCAACATCGTCATCAGCGATTTCTACGACCCCACCGTGCCGTCGTCCCAGAAGCGGGAGATGGGGGCCGCGCTCTACATCGGCTGGGCTGCCACGGCCCTGCTGCTCTTCGGGGGCTGCCTCATCTGCTGCTGCTCCTGCTCCCAGCGCGACGAGACCTCCTTCCCCGTCAAGTACTCGGCGCCGCGGCGGCCCACGTCCAACGGCGAGTACGACAAGAAGAATTACGTCTGAGCGGGGCTGGCCCGCTCCGCGGCCCCGCGGGGCACGGACAGACGGCTGCGGGCCGGGAGCGTCTGCGGGGAGCTCCAGCGCTCCCCTGCCTGGAGGCTTTTCTTAACGGGGACCCCCGTGAAGCGGCGGCCCTAGGCAGGGCAGCGCCCCGCTGCCCTCCAGCCCGGCTCCCCGGCGGGTCCTGCCGCTCCGCTGCGGGCAGCGCCGCGCTCGCCGCCGCCGGCTCCCGGTACTGACCGACGGCGCTGCCGGCCGAGCAAAGCCCTCCGCGGCCGCCCCGAGCAGGCGAACCAGCGTCTCCGCGGCCCA